AAATATGGGGATATAATCATAAAAAGGAATAATAACTGAATTGTGCATACATTGTCGGAATCCTGGATTTATGAAAACAATAACCCTCATTTCTCTTAACCGAAAACCCTCATTTCTCTCCAACATTTAATCGAGTTTCAACAAAAACAAAGAAAATGTCATCAAAAACATATAAAATGCCATCAAAAGCTTCATCGAAAGGTATCAAAATGCAAATTAGATGTTTTTTTTTGCTGAATATCACTTGATTTTCATGATTATCGAGTTTTTTTTATTTATTTATTTTTTTTTTGCTGAATATCACTAGATTTTCATTGTTATCGAGTATTTCTACTGTATACAGGAAATCTGCATTATTCAAAAGTCTTTTTGAAATAAAATCCAAGGTTTCAAAGTCGATCAACTTACTGAAGGTTTTCTGTTTAATAACACTCAATTGTATGAGTATATCGAGTTTTTCTACTGTTGCTTTGTTCAGTATACACAAAATCTGCATTTAATCAAAAGTTATTTCGAACTAAAACCCTAGTTATGAGTATATCGAGTTTTTCTACTGTTGCTTTGTTCAATATACATGAAATCTGCATTTATTCAAAATTTATTACGAACTAAAACCCTAGTTACGACTATATCGAGTTTTTCTATTGTTGATTTGTTCATTATACACAAAATTTACATTTATTCAAAAGTTATTTATTTTTCATGACTTGGATTAATCGTATATAATTTTCTTATAATACATGTATTTGTACATCTCAGTAGACCAATAAAGATGAGCTAATACCTAAAAAACTAGTAAAAAAATTAACAAAAGAAACAACAAGAAGACCAACTCAAAATGGTATACTTCAGTCATTTAATAATCAATTGTGATTCATATATTTTATGTGTATAATGAAATATGATTTCTAATTATATATGTATTTATATTTTTCAGAACAAAGAAACACCTACAAAGAAAAAACCTACCGAAAGAAAAACAAGAAGAAAATCAGCAACAAAGATAGTTGAGAATGATATATTTCAATCACACATGATAATAAAACAAAAAAAACACTTTGTGATTATATATATATATATATATATATATATATATATATATATATATATATATATATATATATATATGATTTTCTAATTATATATCTAATTATATTTTTCAGAACAAAACAAAGAATAGGCTACAGATAAACAACCTACCGAGAAAAAAAAACAGCAAGAAAGGTTGCATCAAAAGGTATATTTCGATCACAAACGATTATAAAACAAAAGAAAAACTAACACTCTGTTATTAGTCACATGTGATTAATATCTTTTATATATGACAACGATTCAATTACATGTGATTATTATCTGTTATGAACACTATATGCTTATTTATTATAAATTTCTTAAATCATAATTGTATATTATGTATTTATTCAACACGTGATTAAAATATATTATGAACAATGTGTATTTATCGTAACACGTGATTACCATATATTACCATCTTTGACATACACAACACACCAAAAATTATGGTTCAATCACATCTGATTAGCATATGATCTTTGACATGCAAAAAAAAAAAAAAAAACTTTGTTTAATCCAATGTGATTAATATTGACTTTATTATTTTCTGATTATATATGTATTTTTGTATCTCATAAAATCCTAAACAATAGGAGAAAAAGGAAAAACGGAGAGTGAAGCATCAGAAATCCATAATGATTATGTTAATTTTAAATTTCAAATTTCAAATTTCAAACTTCAATTTCAATTTTAAATAAATTTACAATTTAAACATTCGTATTTAAGATTTTGTTATAAGTAACACGTTTAACATACAGATCTAACAACTAAACACATAATTTTCATTTTATTAATTTTTTGTATATTTTTTTTCATAATTTTTACTTAGTTCAAATTTCAAATTCAAATAAATGTCTCGTTTAATCATTCATATTTAACATTTATTTTAATCAACTCGTATAACATATGGGTCTCACAACTAGTAATAGTATGAAACATGAAAAAAATGAGTATAGTATTCTTGGAGCCTGTTACCTGCCACCTTTGCACATAGCATGGTATGGTAGATGGTGGGTGTACCCTATGGTGTAAGCAGGCGAATAGAAAACTAGGACGGAAGTGGTGAATAGACTTAGCAATACATATGCATTTTTTGATTTTTTTTAAACTAATTTTAATTAAAATAATATGGTGGCCCACCCTCCTTGAATCCGCAGATCATTTCCCTCAACCTAAATCGATCAACTCCTCCGCCCCCCTTTAACGCCTAGTTCCCGAGTTTAAATAGAGAAAAGAAAGTAAGGATAGAAAAGAAAAGAGAGGAAAAGAAAAGAAAATTTTCTTTTATGTTACCGACTTGGAGAGAATTGGAAGGAAAGTTAATTATTCTATTATTTCTTTCCAAATCCTTCCAAATCAGAAGGAAAGTAATCCTTCCATTTCTCTCCACTTCCTTCCATTTTCTTCCTTTAATGTAACTCGGTAACTCCAATTTCTTTTACTTTCTTCTCATTTCCACTCATTTCCTTTCTTTTCTCTAGTTAAGTTGAAATAAGGAACTACTTGTAATCCTCATCTCCTAGAAATCATGTCTTGATATTGTTCTTCATGCCGTGATCATGTTCGTATTGCAGAAATCATCGTGAGCTGAAGGGATGTTTGGTTATATAGGCAATACAAAAGAGGTAAGCGAATGGAAATTTTGGTTATTCATTAGCTATTTATTTGATTGCTGATCTTAGAAGTGATCCATTAGAGGTTTTTGTTTGGGAACAAACTATCAAAATAGGGTAACCGTGTATTTTCCTGTAACTCTCATGGATTGTATGATTTCAAGAAATTAAAAGAGTTTAAAAAAAAAAGGCACAACTGGGAAGAAAGGTTTAAAAGCCACACTGACTGTGGACCATATTTCCTAAAATCAACCATCTTCGATATGTCATTTTTATGGAGCTGATTTCGTCTATGGTATCCGTGAACATACCACTACTTTTGCTCTAAAACCTACAATGGAGCTCCAATTTCTTTTACTTTCTTCTCATTTCCACTAATTTCCTTTCTTTTCTCTAGTTAAGTTGAAATAGGGAACGAGTTGTAATCCTCATTTCCTAGAAATCGTGTCTTGTTATTGTTCTTCATGCCCTCATCATCTTCGTCTTCCAGAAATCATCGTGAGTTGAAGGGATGTTTGGTTATATATGCAATGCAAAAGAGGTAAGCGAATGGAAATTATGGTTATTCATTTGCTGTTTATTTGATTGTCGTTCTTAGAAGTGACCCATTAGAGGTTTTTGTTTGGGAACAAACTATCAAAATAGGGTAATTGTGTATTTTCCTGTAACTCTTATGGATTGTATGATTTCAAGAAATTAAAAGAGTTCTAAAAAAGGCACAACTGGGAAGAAAGGTTTAAAAGCCACACCGACTCTAGACTATATTGCCTAAAATCAACCAACTTCGATATGTCATTTTTATGGAGCTGATTTCTTCTATGGTATCCCTGAACATACCACTACCTTTTCTCTAATACCTAAAATGGATCTGCCGAACCTTATATCGTTGCATATTTTTGCCACTGGTGTTGATGATGTTTTGAGTGTTCAGGGTTAGAATAATATCTTTTTCATTGGAGATATTAAGATCGTCAAGGTAAGTTGCCATACCCTGTTATTTTAATCTAGCCTTGTTTTTTCAGATGATCTGTTGCCAAGAATAATATCTTTACACATCTTACATGAGAACTTGAATTTATCTAAATTTTGTTCTTCCTTCATCCCATCTTCTTTCTTTGAATCATTTGACTCATCGATAGTTTCCTGAAGATAAAAAACTGTATAACCACCAGATTTATTGTGAATACATTGCACATTGTAAAATGTGACTTGAGAATTGGCGACCCAAATGGATGTCGACCCACCCGAGAAAAGTGAAGAAACATGATACCGAATATCAAGACAATACCTAGGGGTATTCCCGAGCAAAGTGAAAAATGGAAGCCCATTTGGGATTTTTATTATTCGATCAATTCCTAATCCACATATACCGTTTTCAGTCTACGCCAAAAGAAATCTAATAGAAACCTTATTTTTAGCTTCAATTATCCACAATTTCTAACATGGTGTCATCAAATCTGCGGGGTGCCATTGTAGGTGAACCTTGAAGAGGTGCTTAATGAACAACTAAAACTTTTTATTTAGTTTACCATGCTTAAATCAAAATATGCCAGAATTCAACATTCATAATGTATATATTTAATATTCACTACAATTTCTTTTTTCATGAAAGAAAGAGAAAAATAAAAAAGATAAGAGTCTGAGAAACTTTAAATCAAAGATATTTCATGCCAATAACACTAATGAGATTAGGACCAACTAGTAGACAAATGACGGGAAAATTCTGGGTATGCTAAACCAAAAGAAGGCTGGGTAGATTTATTAAGCACATGATAGACAGACTCACACACTTGTGAAATAATAGTTAATACCAAATATTCTTTAGAACTTTTCAATGTACCCCATTGAATCCATGTCCAAGTTGGAATGATGTCGCTTTTTAAGCATTTTTAGGATTTTTTTGGATCTACCAAGAAACTGAGCTATAGTTCTGATGTTATCTTCTCTTTTCTATATTGCATCATCATGACACTTCATGGTTATGATGTGTGGCAACTTGGTAAAGCAAGCACATATCAGATCCGCGATAATGGTTGATATCCACTCAAAAAGCTCCTCATCTATTGGCCAATTTTCTTTCTAATTGCAATGAAACAGTATGGTTTGGCTAATCCTGTACATAGAACCTGCAGCAATGAACATATAACGTGAGTAATCCTGACTTACATTTTTCCTTGCCTTCACATGTATAACAGATTTTGCTGCTTCATCACCCAATGATTGAAGAATCTCCTTTGATGTTTTTCCTTTACGAGCCTTCTTTTGAAGATCAATTTGTAGCCAACTACAGTATACTTCAACGTCTTTCCACATGTGTCTAGTGTGACAACCCGAAGTTCGTTCCGTCGTCGTAACCTGATACATCAATAAAAATTCGTCGTCTTAAATTGTTTCGTTCGTTTCTAAATTAATTCATTTATTTTAAGTTTGTTATTATAACTTAATAATTGTCCAAATACGTTAGAAATCTATGGAAACGCCTCAATTTATTCTTTGGAAGAATAATAATTTTATTCCGTCAAGTTATAAAAAAATAATTAAATCAGGTACGACCAAAAGCCTCACTTGACGACAGTATCGAGTAAAATTCCACCGTGTCCCAAACTTTCAGCATATATAAAGTTGAGCGAGCCTCATTTGAAGCTTTTTCCACTCTCTCTCTACTTTCTCTCTCTACTCTCTCTCTAAAATCCGATTTTGAGCCAAAAACACCCAAATCAAGCTTCAAAACATCAAGGTAATTATCCTAGCTTCTAGTTTAACATCTTTGGCCTTCAAATTCGAGATTTTTATGAGCATTAGGACCCTTAGCATGAGTTTACGTTCCTAGAACATCCCTAGGCCGTGAACTCATGAAAATGGGGTTTTTGTGCCATAAAACCCCTCTAAAACACTTATAGGGCTTAGATTTGACTTAGAAACTTGCATGCATGAACCAAGGACCCCAAAATCTTGACATTTGATGTATGAACATGAGTTTACAGCCCAAGAACCTTCTTGGACCGCAAACGCCCATGCATGAACCATAAACTCCTTTTAAGGTGTTAAAAATGCCCTTAAACACCACCACAAGCTTCCAAATGTGTCTAGGACCCTCTACTCCATCATTTGAAGCACCAAATCATACAAGAAGGGACCAAACATGAGTTTACGGTCCAAGAACATGCTTGGACCGTAAACCCTCATTCTTAGACCTTAAACACCTTTTAGGATGTTAGTTTTCCCCTAAACACCTTCAATGAACTTCCATGAGTGCTTATAACCTTATAACCCTTCTAGAAATGCACCAAAACATTCATAAATGGGACAAACTAGAGTTTACGGTCCAAGAACATTCTTAGACCGTAAACTCATCTTCTTAGACCATAAACTCTTCAAATGGGTGTTTAAGTGCCCTTATCACCTTGAATGACTTGTAAGTTGGACTAGAATCACATGTGATTAACCTACAAACACCAACACCCATGGATCTTGAACAAACAAGAGTTTACGGTTGTAAACTCATGTGTTTAAGGTAGTAAACTCCCCAAGAACACCTTCATAGACCATAAACTCCAATCCCAAGGCCATTTCAAGTCCCGATCACTTCCTAAGCCATGGAATCAACCCTAGAACTTTCTCGTGTGCATTATAAAACTTTGTGGCATCCAAGAACACACCACCCATGAGTTTACGACCGTAAACTCATGGGGAATGATTCATTAGAACCGTAAACCCTCTTATGAGTTTACTCTTCAGCAATTAACTCCATATCCGAACCTTATACGTCCCTAGATGCCACCCGGGTCACTCCAAACACTTGATTTGAAGTGTTTTCGCGTCTTGGAGTGTATAATCATATCTAATTAGTGATTTAAAGTCTAATTAGATACATTTGTATATCATTTCATATTACATAGGAACCTCACGCGTTATCAAGCCCCGAACCGACACTTAGCATCCATTCTGACACGCTTCTCGATCGGTGAGTTCATACCCCTACCCTTTTTCAAATGTTTTCAGGGGGGAATACAAGCAAAAGTACAAGGAAATCTTGTACTCAAACTTATTATTTTCAGTTCAAATGTCTATAATCTGTATGTTTTTAATATCGAAAACTGTGTTAATCAAATAGTTCGAATTACGAAGTTAGCTTTCAAACTAATCATCGATTACTTGACAAAGGGTTACAATCTATATTTCATAATCTGCGAATAATTCATACTAATCATCAATTAGAACTAATATGAATACGAATACGAAAGTACAACTAGGAACAGAACGAATACGAAAGTATAACTAGAATACGAATACGAATGCGAATACGAATGCGAATACGAATACGAATACGAATACGAATAGGATTAGGAATAGGACTAGTAATACGAATACGAATGCGAATACAAATGCGAATACAAATGCGAATACGAATACGAATACAAATAGGATTAGGAATAGGACTAGGAATACGGATACGAATGCGAATACGAATTCGAATACGAATAGGAATACAAATATGAATACGAATACAAATATAAAATACGAGTATGAATATGATTAAGAATAAGAATACGAATACGAAGTCACGCATCTAGGAACATTCAAGCGTAACACAATTAGGATATCAGAATACCTAGCTAATATGACAAGTATGATAGATAATTGAACATTACATTGGGATTCAATAACTAAACTTACTTTTAGGAAAATATAGGATTTTCCTGGGATAGCAATTGTACATAACCAGATTCGTGTAATAAAACAGTTTATCAAACTCTACAAATAAGAAAATATGGGATTTTCTTGGATAACAAACTTTGACGGAAAACCAAAGGGATCTTGTACATTTTCAGAAAACTAACATCTTATGAACTCACCAGCTTTATGCTGATTTTCAAACTGCTTGTATTCTTAGGTCCATATTAGATAGGTACCCAACGATGCTTTTGGAGAAGACGGAGCGTACAGAAGACTCATCTTAACTTTTATTCATATGATATATGTATAACACCTGTAACACTTTACTTTTGAACAAATGTAAATTCGAATATGTAATGTAATGGTTGCTTACTTTTCTTACTATGTACATTGGATTTGATACTCAACGTGGAGTCCGCCCCGGAATGTTTCCGCCTTAGGTTTTTGGGGTGTGACATCTAGTTGCTTCTCTTGCCTTTACCAACATTTCATTTTCATTGAGGCTTTCTTCGATATGTGTTACAAATTTCCTTTACTAACTCTTCACTTGTAGTATAGTTGAAAGCAACCCATTGACATGGCAGTTTGCAATATTAGGAAGCACAAGAGCAATGGATGTTAATGTTAGAGCGACTAGGCTCCAACAATTTTAGGTTTCTTCTGGATGTAAACGTGGGACTCCATCATTATCAAACTCTATAACTCCATAGAATCCTATAGATTTCTTTAGAAGCTCCATAAGATTCCTTGGCTCTTTCTTTTCAGACTCTTGAAGAAGCTAGAGTTATAGAGTTGAGTGCATTTCGTAATGATCTCTTTAAAAGCTTCGCACCTGGTTCAATTTGCATAACATAACTGGTATATTCTTCCATATCTGATACCACAAACGTTATCTAAAGCATTATACAAAAGTTCTAAATCATATTTCGGATATTATGGAAGACCATATTGCAATGGCAGCCTAGGATATGCATAGGGATAGGCTGTTTTTCCAAACTTGAAGCCTTTGAATCCAATGTTTCTCGACTTGGAACACGTGTAGGTGGTTCCTGCTCCATTTCATAGAGAGGTTAAAATGAGTGGTGGCAGTCAAACATATTAAAATTGGTGCTATACTACCTAATATTTCCTCAATTGATTGCAACACAATAATCACATTGATTGACCACTTATAGTCAGATTAAACATTTTGATAATCTAATCTATCAAACAAACAGGAATATCAAAATAACAACCGAAAAGAAAGCAAAGAGTGAGCATATAACCTCAATAGTAGAGGAGACCAGTGAACAAGAAATTGCAAATTGGGGTTGCCAGTCTCTGCCATCATCCAATACTTTTTAGGGAGCGGCGCCTATTGCCAAGACACCTTATTGCCTTGTGCCACCAGCAAAGCATGAGTTATCCTCATAGCTCAAGGAGCTGTTGGGGAAGGGTCTCATTAGACCGAGTAGCTCACCATGGGGAGCGCCGATCCTTTTTGTCAAGAAAAAGGATGGTTTACATCGAATGTGAATTAACTATCGGGAGTTGAACAAGCTGACGGTCAAGAACCGTTATCTACTTCCAAGGATCGATGATTTATTCGATCATTTGTAGGGGGTATCTTGATTTTCCAAGATTGATATGAGATATGGATATCATCAGATGAGAGTATGCATGGAGGATATTCAGAAGACGACCTTTAGAACTCGTTATGGGCATTACGGGTTTGTGGTGATGCCTTTCAGGCTCACGAACGCACCGATGACATTTATGGACCTCATGAACCCGGTGTGTAGGCCTATGTTGGATCAACCGGTGATCGTGTTCATCGATGAAATCTTGGTATATTCGAGGTCCAGAGAGTAGCATGAGGAGCATTTGCGAGAGGTTCATGGGGTATTGAGGTCGGAGAGGTTGTATGCTAAATTCTCCAAGTGCGATTTCTGGTTACGAGGGGTCTAGTTCCTGGGACATCTCGTTAATCAGAATTGGATATTGGTCAATCTGGCCAAGTTTGAGGCAGTTATGCGATGGGAGGTGCTGAGATCGCCATCCAAGATCAAGAGTTTTCTGGGATTGGTCGGCTACTATCGAAGATTTATCAAGGATTTTCCAAGATTGTGGTTCCTCTCACCAGATTGACCATGAAAGGGGTTGCTTTTGTTTGGGAGCCTGAGCAGCAGGCATCATTCAAGACTCTTCACTAGAGATTATGCAAAGCTCTAGTGTTAGACCTTATGGAGAGAGTGGAGATCTTCGTGGTCCATTGTGATGCTTCCATTTCAGGGGATGGGTGCAGTGTTGATGCAGCGGGGTCACGTGATAGCATACGCCTTGAGGCACTTGAAGCCTTACGAGACAAGGTATACCACCCATGATTTGGAACTGGGGAGGTGGTGTTCGCCCTCAAGATTTGGTGCCACTATCTTTATGGTGTCCAGTGTACTAAATACACGGACCATAAGAGCCTGAAGTACTTAATGGATCAGCCCAACCTGAATATGAGACAGAGGAGATGGTTGGATGTAGTGGAAGACTATGACTGTGAGATCTTGTATTACCTGGGCAAGGCTAATGTGGTAGCTAATGCCTTGAGTCGCAGAACCCGAGAGCGCTCTAATTCGGAATGTGTGTATGAGGATAACCGTGAT